ATAGCACAGGAGCTGGCATTGTTCTGAGCACTCACAGGTCCCTTCATTTCACAGACAGAAAGGTACTTCTACCAGCAACTGGCCAATGTAAGAATCCAGCAAGAGGATGTGCTTGCAACTCCACGTGAATGGGTGGATACAGCTCAAGTTTCCTAGCTTTAGGGAAGAAAGAGACCTGCGAGAATGCTGGCATCCTCATCAGAGAAATAGGCCATGGTTTCTAAGACTCCTGCTATTCAGGCCTCTAACAGCTATAAAGCCAATCCACAAACCTCCCACTAGGAAAGATCAAGAGAGAACTGTGTAGATTTAGGATCACAACCAATTTTGCTGCCAAAAGAAAACCAGCACTGAATATTTTAGTTTCCCAGAGGACATGCAATGTTGGAAAAATCATCCTCTATCTTGCATTACAAAAAAGCCAAAGGAAAATCAGGAGAAGTGTCATGTTCAGTGCACAGCCTTGCTACATATAGACAGGACTTTTTTATGTTCCTCCCTTTCTTTTTGGAGGTCTGAGGGAGAATTCCCACAGATGGGAAAGTGTGCAAGTCAGGGGGCTGTGGGAGAAGACAAGTGAGATTGTGGGATTACACTTAATTCATTAAAGTGTGTGCTTTATAAAAAACCATTTTGCCAAAAATGAGCTTTGTGGGAAGGAGAAGACAGCAGGGATGTGAATGCGTGGGGGAGAGGGAGGACTAAGAAGTGCCAAGAGAGAGGGAAGTCTTACTTGTTGTGGAGTGTTGAATCCCACATAAGAATATGTCATGAGCCAGTTCAGGGAAATTAGAATGCAAATTGGGAGAGTGCAAGTCTATTGGGTCCAGTTATTATTTATAGACATTATTTGTGCCCTATTTTTATAAGAACTTAAGAAAGTTTGGGGAAACCTGCTTTGCCTTCCTTTTCCGTGTCCTGTCTTTTCTAAAGCACAACAGTGGTGATATGACAGCAAGGCACTTTATTCTTTCCTCTTAATTCAGAGACCCCAGCTGCACCAGTGAAGGTGACAGATAAATACCAAGTGTCAGTAGCTCAACACAGCAGGACTGACGTCTCACAGGGAACAGTCTCAGGCAAGAATTCCTCGTGGGGACATGGCTTCCTTCTGTGCATCAACTTTGGGAGTGAGGCTCCATCACAGTTTGGATGGGTCCTCTCAAAAACCCGGGTGTTGCCAATGTGATATGGATAGCACGGATGTGATGGTGAAGGCCTTGGGACCAATGGCTGCTGCCATTCTGAGCACTCATGTGACTCTCCACTTCACCAGCTAAGGAAGGTCCTTAAGGGCCTTAATCAGGTGAGTAGGTATGAAGGATTTTGCCTTCTACAACTGAATTAGATGCCCTGGATTAGACAGGCTGGATAGAGACAGCTCATGCATTCTCACCCCTCTGGCTTTGAGCAAGTGAAGGCACAGAGTTCCTTCCTCTCCAGGATTCTGTAATTTGGAAGCAGAGACCAGGTTCTCATTAGACAACGAAACTGTCATCCCTTGTTCTTAGACTTTGCAGGTTTTAGGATGATAAGAAATTTTTTGTTGTTATTTATAACTTCCCAAATATCAAGTATTCTGTTATACTGGCTAAGGTAACACTAGCTACTATCACAACCTCCAAACTCCAGTAACTCAACATCAAAGAATTTGATTTTGAAAAACATACTAGAATGCCTCTTGTGTCATGTGACTGTATTGTTCTCCTGGGAACTGGAAGTCCTTGGAATCTGGTCCTGGAATGTGAAATAAAGGATGAGGAAGGTGTACATGCTCAGAGGTCACAGGTAGTAATTCTGCATGTATTCTATTGTTCTGACCCAGATGCCTGGGTGTTTTGGGACGAGAGTCTGATTAAGCAACAGAAATCAGTGATGAAGACAGATCCTAGCAGAAACATTTTACTAGATATGCAAGAGCTTACAATTTGAATAATAGACATGGACCCCTATACTATACTGCCTACTTAGAATGGCTGCTCTTGACAATAAGGAAGACAAAAAACAAAACAAAACAAAAATCATGGCCAGACTTCCTTTTCCACTGACCTTGAGTCTTTCCCCAAAGATAGCAAAGGAAAACTCTAATTTCTGTGAAATTTTCTTAATAAATGTGGATAAGGATGCTGTGGGCTTCATTTTACTGCTGCATCCTGTTATGTGTCTTTCCTCTGCTCCTTCTCCACCTCTGAAACTCACTCCACCCCTGAAACTCACACTGCTTCAGATATCAGCTTTTACTCTGTGTGATTTCCTCCTGTATCCATTATGCATATTTGTTTGCCATATGGGTCTCCTTTCTCAGACATTTGCTTAAAAAGCTTTGTCTTTATCAAAGAGTTTGCAAAATTCACAAACCAATGGGTGTGGCAACTTTGTTTTAAGAAATCTTCTGATAGGCAGGACCCCCCCCCATCCTCAGGACACCCTTGACTTTGGTAATACTCACCAGGAACCAAAGTATTTCCCTTCTTTGCTTATAAATCAAGGGATATTGGAGATAACTCACTCTTAGAGGTTCAGTAATTGAGATGAAGGGGCCTTAAGTGAAGCCTTGACTAGAGTTCCACAGCTAGTTTGTGAAGAAGGACACTTAGAAGCCAGGAATCTTGACTTCCTCTGGTGTTTTTTAAGTTCTGTTAAACAATCCTAATGACACATGGATTTGGGAGTCAACACCAGTAGGCACCCAAAAACATGAGACATACGCTTCTGTGATTATGCTCATGTGTGTGCATGTATGATGACATCTGGCATAAGCCATGTCATTTTCTTTCATCTTCCATTTATTTCATGTCTTACAGCATAAGTAGCCATTTTAGGTGGTCACGATATTTTCACCTAACTAGTTAGCAGGCTTCCCCCATTTTACAAAAGCTATATTTGACCTTGGTTATAATTGCATCATAAACCAAACTTATACGCACATTTACAAGATAATCAAAATCAGAAGACATAAATGCCATGGAAAAAACTGAAGAATACCTAAGCACATTGAAAGCTATACAGTTGCATGAATGGAATGGATCATCATAAGTCAAACCTATTCATATTGATCGAGAGAGCCAAGAAGATATAAACTCAAGACTAAGCTGTTTTGAAGACATTGACAAGCTGATTCTAAAATTAATATGGCAATGCCAAGTCATGAGCACAGCAGACACATTGCTGAAGAAAAAAACTAAGAGGCTACCATGAGTCCTTATAAAAAGTGGACCAGGAACTGAGGAATTTCTCAGTAGTAAAGTGTTTGACTGAAATTCATCATCTCTGGCTCTCACTCTCAGTCCTGAAATAAACATATTGCAAACAGAAGTGATTATGGACTGGAAACATGGGAAGGACTGAAATCCAGAAACAGACCCCTGCATATATGCATACTGGAGTTGACTTATGACATTATGATATCATGACAAAAGACCTATGTTTTCAATGGTGGAACTGGTTCAGTTTGATATCTATATAGAAAAATTTATCTTGACTTTAGCACACTCTCTGTATAAATATTAACTCCAAATGTGAGAGGAAAATAATATCTATTCTAGAAGAGAATTTTGTGTGCTTTTCCTGAGGAGCTGGGTGTTAGACATCTTGGGTTTTGGGGGCCATGACATCGATGCACTGTTGGTATGAACATTATATAAATGAATAAGCAGCATTGTGCCTAATAAAAGCAAACTTCTACTCAAAACCCCAGATAGTAAAATGGATTTGGACCACTGACTACAGGTAGTCAATCCCCATCACGGAAGATGATACAGGATGGCTCTGTGATCTTTGATTATGTTTTTTAAATGACAACAGGAGTATTAGTCATAAAAGCAATCTATAATGAATCCCTGTAAATCAGAGTAAAAATGGAAATCTACTGAGTGTACACAGTTAATTGTAGCACACGGGACTTACATAAAGCTCTTCCTCCCCTCCCCTCTGTGTGTGTGTGTGTGTTGTGTGTGTGTATGGGTGAACACACACGCATGTGCTGCATGTGTTTGTATGTATGTTTTTGCCTGTGGGTGTGTGCATGTGGAAGCCTAAGATTGAATCGTCCTTTATCATCTTTCACCTTATTTATTGAGGCAGAGTCTCTCAGTCAACTCACAGCTGTCAATATGACTAGCCATGTTAGCAGTTTGCTTTGGACTTTTCCTGTCTTTGCCTTTTGAGTCTGGAATTACAGGGGGGCTTCCATGGCTACCCTACATTTACATGGGTTTCTGGGGATTTCAACTTTGATCATTATACTTGGATAGCAAGGGCTTACTTGTCTAGCCATCTCCCCAGTCCTCATACTCTGGGTCTTTGGATTTTCAATCTGAAGCCTCCTATGTCATGTAAATGTGCGGTCAAATTAATTTGTTATTCTTTTCTCTTGCTCATTGTTTATCATTATAAGAATATTGTTCATGGTCCTTTATGATGGATAGAAAGGAGATCACCTGCTTTTCTACCCCTACAATAACAATGAAAACAGGAGAACTCCTATTAAATGCAAATATATTTGGAAATTTCCAAATGTGGTATAATTGAAAGTAATTAGACAAAAATCATGCTTAAGTTATAACTCTAGTGTATGTGACCCAAGTGTAAGTAAAATTAACACCATGTTTTTGAGTGAGCACACTGGTTATCTTTGGGGAGGAGATGATGGATGATTAACTGGAGGGGGTTTATATAGTGAGTTTCCTGGATATTGATGAGACCCAGGTGGTACTTACACAGGGGCCTTCATTTTATGATAGCTCCTAGAGCCATATGTGTCTGCTGTCTGTACTTTTCTATACTATACAATGTAACACGTTAAAGGCTTTTTAAAAATCCATTGAAGTTAAAAGAAAACCCACTATTGTGTCTTCCCTTTGTGTGTTTTAAACTCCGGAGAGTAGGACAGACACAAAAACTATAGAGACACTCAAGAAAGGTTGAGAATAAGAAAGAGGGGGGGGGAGGGAGAGAGGGAGGGAGGGAGGGAGGAAGACCAAAAAACAAACAAACAAAAAGCCGAAAACTCAGCTTTTATTCATGGTCTCTTTAGTCTGGCTCCATGATCCAACTGGCTGAGTATACGTAACCTAAAAGGCCACCCATGCTCATGGCCACTTCAGAAGAGAAGTAGTTCTAGACAGACCCAAAGAAGGTTGTCTCAGGATTATCGGGTCAAGAAAAGAGGTGCAGAAGTCAGAAGCCCTGTAAAGTGACTCTGTTCTGAGGCCGTGTCCTCCATTCCTGCCCGCATATTCAGTGAACTCTTGTAGGACATGGTTTTACACACAGAACAGTGACTCAGGCTTCTGCTTCTCTACAGACTGATGGGTTAGCAAACTACACTCCATGCCCTATTGTTCTTTTTCAGACTTGGTAGAAGAGAATATCACTCCAAAGCCTTTGGAACTTCCATTTTCAAGAGATAAACAGACTCTCAGTCACTCCAAACTGAACAGAAGAATTCCAGCCCCCGCATAGTTTCATCGTCCTTGAAGTCTTTATGCATCTTTGCCTCCTAGCAGCTTCTCCTCTGTCTTTGCTTCCCCTCCTCAGTGGTGAGCTACAGAGAAGCAAGTTGCTTTGGTAAACTCCATCATCTCCACCAAACACATGTTGCTGAACACTGGGTGACACAATGGGAAAATAGGCAAAGTGAGCTCCTTCTCCATTTATCTCACGACCTTAAAGTCCACACGGAAACACTGGTATCTAAGGAATAGGCCACCTCTCACACTGCCTGCCTCCTCTATAGGCATTCACGGGGTTGGTGGGAATCCAGAACCCTGTCGAGTGTTGAACTCCAGCGGAGTTTGTTCCAGCAGAGTTTTCTCCAGCCTGGTTTTACATTGCTCATTTGGCCCTGAAACAGCAGGTGTGATGTTCCTTACTTGTGAACATGTTTGCCCAAAGTAACCTCTGACCTACCAGAAATTGCTTGGCCTTTCTAAAATACACTGCAATTTTAACTTGCTCATTTTTAACCATCAAAAGATAATTAAAATACCACTGTTTTAATTAAAATACCATTATTGGCAAAACGGAAATCTCATTGTTTCCCACTTCTCCATTGCTACAATCTTCAAAAGTGTTGCTGAGGTGGGAATCGAAGACATTTCTCCCTCTAATCTCAACTCTAGTGAGTATGATGTTCCTCATCAGGCCTCCTAGACCTGAGGGCTAAGAGCACAGGCAAGGCCTCAGAGTACTTCCCTATAAGTCACAGACCTGTCACTACTTCCACAAGGCCAAGGCTGTTGCTGCCCATGGCCTCTTCTATCTTCTGTCTTACTCTCCTCTTTTCCGCACTCAGCTTCTCATCCATGACAAAACTTTGGAAGCACATTCCTTAGAAACTTAGATAGCCAAGTCCCTGAAATACTCTTCCTGCTGAGTTCTGATCACATGGACAGGATTCCCAGGAATCATTAGACCCAGGCAAACAAGGCAAAAGGAATCCCAGCTATTTTGGAAACGTTTTTGAATTGGTGACTACCATAAAAGGCCCATTAGCTTCTTTGGAAGTTTTGGCTGATGATGCCAGGAATGCACTGAATTAAGAAGACACGTAGATTTCCCCTTGGTGCTGACTTTGAGCTGAAATGGTCAAAATGATTCTAGAAAATGGGAAAATAGTTACAGGCTATTCATCTACAGCAAGGTCCTTTTGTTCACTAAGGATCTTTATTGACATGATGTAGGAAACCTGGTCCTTAAAGTCAAGAGAAGATGTCTGAGTTGAGGGGTGCTGGGTCAATCCTGGGTTTTGGGAGCCAACACTGTAGCTTGTACCTTGGCTGTTTTCCTTTGTTTGTTGTTGCTGGGAATCCCAGAAGCAAGCCCTCCTCAGGAACTTTGAGAAGTGCAAAGAAAAAGCAATCCTAGGACAGAGTAAATCTCACAGAAGGGCTCAGTGAGGAGACAACTGGGGTGTGACTTATACCATCTCCAAGTTTCCTTTGGACAGCCACTGTTGTCCTGCTGGGGGCTGAGCATTTCTGCCTACTCCTGCCTGTCATTCATTGGTTAAAATCCATCATTTATGGAAGAAATCTAACTCTCACCATTGCCCTTACCAGACAGTTTTGGGAACCAGAGCATAGTCCTCTGAGAAAGGGATATGGGGGTTACTTGGAATATCTGGAATGTCCACAAAAGGTACAGGTACAGTAGAAGCCTGAATGTGTCCCCTATCTCTCAAGTCTGTATGTAGAAGTCTCAGTCTCCAGTGCGAATATTGGGAGATGGGAGCCTTAGGATGGAATTCAAATTAAGTAAGGCCACAAGGGCGAGTCTCCAGTATGAGAGAACTGTTGGTCTTAAAGAAGAGGATGGGACAGCAGAGATGCCCCTCTCTGTCCATTCAGAGGAAGAGAGAAAGAGACATGTAAAGACATAGCCAGAAGGCATCCAGGAAGTGTTACCTGGAACTCTAGTGACATTTGATCTTGGATTTCTCAGCCTTCAGAACAGTAAGAAATGAGTATCTGCTGCTTAAGCCATGGGATCCATGGCATTTTGTATAAGATGATGGTAGACTGAGAAAGATGCAGTAACCCTCAGCTGCTCTGGCACAGTGTCTGTGAGAGAGCGCTGGTAAAACAGCCCACATTCACAGGTCCAGTGGGATTCAAGCGGCCACTCCTGATTTGTCCTTCCTTGGCCTCAGGCATCGGTCTAACAGTTGGGTCCACCTGTGAGTATAGGACAGGGACATCTGAAGCCACAGACTGTATTCTGTAGCAGAGGGTCAGTGCTTCTGGGGGCCTGGAGTCCAGCTGCTGGAGTCCAGACCTGGTATACCTCTCATTGGCCAACAACCTAGGGAGGAAGAGAGAAGCCCACTGCAGAAGGAATGCTGGTATCAGTTTTGTCTTCTCATCACTAGGGGACATGCAAGAAGGGTTAGGGTTAGAGTGGATCAGGGGGACTGAAATGGCTGCTTAGTTCAGCTGCACACCTTTCTAGTTCCGTCGGACACTAAGGAGCCCCCAGGTCTATGTCAAATCCTCTTCCTTGGACTAAAAATAATCACCCACACATGACAAGCATCAGAGTATTTTTAGCATACCTCAGGCGACCAACCTTCCTGTTAGCGTTCATCTCTTGTTCTCTCAGTCGGCTGCAAGAGCAACTGAAACTACCTGGAACTTTCCACCACAAACAGGCCACAGTGACCCCACGTGACATCTGACTGTGGATGCCAAAGGGACCTTGCAGCAGGAGATTAGAATCTCTAACTGACTTCAGCTTTCAGATGGCAGGAGACCAGGCATTCAGAGACAGTGAAGGCTTAGAAGTTCAGGGTGAATAGTTCCAGCATTTTGAGGGTCACTTGTGTGGTTTCCTGAAGAGGGTTCTAGGAACCAGAACGCAGGCCTGTTGAAATGTTCACAGCGGAAACCAAGGAAGTCTGTGACCCGGCCACACGGGCAGGCAGCTTTCAGGTGGCAAAGACATTTCACCCTGTGATGCCAGGCAGAGGGGGAAGAGAAATTATCCAACTGTCACCCACCGAAGAGAATTTTAGGGTTGGCAAGATAATCCATTAGAAAACAAAACATCTCTTCTTCCAAATGCATACGCATATTAGGTGAACACTGGGAAGCAACTCACATTTGCCTAGACAGCGATTCATTCCTGCTGAAGTTCCTGCTTCATAACTTGTCACCAGGCAGTAGTGTCATTTGCCCTCTTTGTGTTTACCATCATTCTGCAAAAGTAAGAGATGGGGAAAGGACAGGGTTGGACCAAGAATTCATGGTCCATACTACCAGGAGCTCAGAATTTATGGGAGGAAATATATGGGGAAAAGGAGTCCAGAACATTTTTTAGAGACCCAAGTGAGAGCCGACTGACTCTTGGGTGCTGTAACTACTCCGCTCATCCAAGTCTGTTAAAATGGCGGAGGCTCCGTCTGAAGAAACAAGCAAGAATCGAACTCCCAAGGTTAAAGTTCTTGACTTTGGTCTCAACCTTCCACTTACTATAGTTTTTCTGTTCTTGAGTAAGAAGAGGCATTCCTCTTAGTGTGCCAACATGACACCCCTTCTTTTCTCCCTGTGGAAAGCATAGAGACTGGGCAAGGTGGAGCCTGCCCAGAGATGGCGTACTGAGATGTGAGGTAATGATTGTTCCCTAGCTGTGGCTGGAACCAGAAAGAGCTTGATAGGGGCTGCAAAGAAGGCGGTTCTGGTTTCTAGATGGTTCTTTATGTTTGGCCTGTATATAAGCCAACCTTCAAAGGAAATATCAATATTAGACATGTTATATAATCCAAATTACAGTGTGTGTGTGTGTGTTTGTGTGTGTGTGTGTGTGTATGTGTGTGTGTGTGTGTGTGTGGAGGTGAGAGAGGACATGGGAAGTGGCTGCCAGTCATGATGGGCAATGAAACTCAACTACACCTTAACTGTTGAGCTGAGATTGCCATGATCACCACAAAGGAGGTAGCTTTTGGTCTTCACTACCCAAATAACTCAGGTTCTGTTTCCATCAGAGTTAGCACATCTGGGTTCCAGTTGTTACCAATGCTTTTGGGTTCAAGAACCGGCCCTGGTAGCTAGGTGCAGTCACTCAACCTCAGTGTGCCAATTAAAGAATAGTAAAAGGTAGAGAGAGAGGATTTATTCAGCATGGCCACATGAGAACAGATAAAGAGATCTTGTGGCAGCCCTCACAAGCCCCACACACACCCCTGCAGTCCATATTTAGAGGTTCTGACTTGAGATTTAGGTTTAAACAGAAGGCAAAAGGTGTGTGTAACTAAGCAGTCTACTGTGGTCCCACCCACCATGTCTCAGCTCCAATCCATCCTACAAGTGCTATGCTAAGTTCTCAGAACTGTGTGATATCTAGTTCATACTCTGGATAATACCAGGACACAGGCCTTTCCCTTCCTCCAGTACCAGGTTCCTGGAGAAGCTCCAGTCCCTTGGGCGATGGTTTTCTTAGTACTCTGATACCCTTGCAGTATCTTTCTTCTTGCTTTGTTGGGTGTCTCTTTTCTTGTTTGTGTTTTTGAGACCAGGACTGAAACTCACTATATAGGCCAGGTTGGTCTCAAACTCAGAGACCTACCTGCCTCTGCCTTCCAAATGCTGGGCTGAAAGGTGTGCATCACCATGCCTGGGCTATCGGTGTCTTTCTTTAGAATCTTTGCTTCTGCCAGGATGGTTGCACAGTTGCTTTCTGGCCACTAATGTGGTTGCTTACCTGGGCTCCATCTCTCTGCTTTCCTGGACCTGTTTCCAATTTGAAGATACGAGGCCCTTTCCATACAAAGGTCAAGGCAAGCTCAATGCTTAAGGTCATCCACACTTCCCAGGTGGGTGGGAAAACAGGGACTATTAAGCAGCTCAGCATATTCCATCCCTACCCCCTTTCCGCCCAGAGGCTTTGCTCAGGCCCTGTCTCCACGGCAAGTCCGTGTGTGCAGCAGCACATGTTTGACAAACAGATGAAACATTTGCATATAATGGCATTTTCACAGTGCTTACTATAAGCAGAGCGAACTCTTCTCCCACGGTGGTTAGGACAGGCTTTCCACCGGTGCATGTGAGAAGACAGATTATGCAACTCTTAGTGGGGGATAAAAAGCTTGAACAAAAAGCCTACATGTAGTAATATTTTAACCTGAGAGAAAAAAAAGACATACATGCTAATTTGGACACAGAAAACAAACTGTTGTGTCATTTACATTGGGAGAAACCTTGGTTGCTTGCTCCCAAATAAACGATCAGAATTATTGATGGCTAAGGTTAACATCCTTTTTCTAAAGTGAAAATACTGTATGCAATTAGATTAAAAAAGAGATCTGGGAAGAAAGGGTGACTGGAGTCACAGTGGAATCAACAAAGGCTCACTTTTATTTTATTAGCTGGCAATTAGAGGCATCCTTGGCATTGTACTCATGGTGCACAGCCGGCAGGATACTGCTGTACAAAGTCGTCTGTGACCCCTGTCTGGACTAATTGAGTGACAATAATAAACAATGGGTGATGGAACTCACAGGTCCCTGCAGGGAGCATGTTGAGGTCTTTCAAACAGCAGCCAGCAGAGTCATGTCCAAGGAGCCAAGTTGTTAAAAATCAAGCAAGTCTAGCGCAGTTTTGAAATAGAAATCACTCCTAAGGTATGGTCTGCAGCTGCCCCATTGTCAGTGGGAGGCTCTCGGCTCAGGGTTCTGTCCTAAGTGTCATCTAAAGGAAGGACAGTCCAAGCAGCGAGCTGAAGACTGCAAGTCAGTCAGACAGGGGGAGTAAATAGTACACACCAGATGTGTTCTGCACCATGCGGATGCTGAACAGGCAGACAAGGAAATAATCCTAAACCCAGCTGCCCACTCCCTCTTCTTCCCCCCTGTGCAGATAAAACAGAACCAAGTGAGACAGATAAACCCCAAGAAAAAGGGACAAGCTGCAGTCTCCAAGGAAGGTGTGTGAGAAGGTCGCTGCTGACCTAGTCTAGCAGCAAGGGCTTTGTCTTGGGAAGAAGGTGGACACCACCCTCTCCCGTACCCTCCTTCCTTTTCCCTCCGTGCTCTTCAGACTAAATTAAGTGGGAAGGTGAGCGGCTCCATTTTGCATCTTCGTTGTGACTTGGATCTGGAGCTGAGATCAGAAACTCCTCACAGGCTGTGATGAAATAGGAACTTGCCGGCCAGCTTAGAGAGAGACAAAAGTAAACAGCTTTTTCCTTGGCTAAAACTACAAATGTCCCTGTCCTGTCAGCAGTTTTGCTCTTTTAGAGTCAGGGATGCCATCAGAGGTTGATTTTTCTCATTGTCTCTCCCCTTAAATGAGCATTCTGCCTGGAATCTGTACTCTGAGGACAGCCACACTGAGACGAGGCGCCTGGATACTTCATGGCTTGCTAGCTCATCCCTCACCGTGCATCTCACCCCAGTTCCAGACATAAAAACCCTTAGACTCACAGGCACCGACTCCTGCTCTCTGGGAACTCTGCCTGCTCTTCCGAGCTGCCGCCATGAATCTGTAATACAGATCTTTCCTAACTCATGCCCCTGCAGTCTGGGAATTCCACTCTTCGGGTCCTAAGACAAGAACCAGAAGGCTACTAATTGGAAGCGGTTTGTGCTGGATGGACCCATTAAACTTCCTGACTACTGCATTGCATTGGCCCCGATGAATCTTTTGAAAGTTGAATGCAATCTGTTGATGTCTTTATTTCATCCTTTCTATCGAAGATTCTAGCAAGATAGGTGCTTAGGAGACACACTTACAAAGGTGACTCTTTACACCCTGGGGAGGGCAATGCTGACTACTGGTCTGATGAGGCTTGCTCATGAGGCCTTAAGTAGTTTCCTCTACCAGGGGCCAGGCTAAGATCAGCCAGTGTCTTTGAAGTCTTGAAGTCTTGCAAGGAAAGAATTGCAGTCTTCCCACATTCCCTTTCTAGGATCTCCAGATGGTGCCCTATAAAAACCACAAGTTAATAAGAGCAAAACAAACAGAAGTTTATTAACATGTGCATTGGGCTAACACATGGAAATACCCAGAGATAAGTACCCTCCCACAACATGCCAGCAACAAGAACATAGAGCATCTTAGGCTGAAACTGACTTCTGGTGAGAGATGCCAGCTGTGGAGAGCTGAGTGGGGCAGGGAGGTGAAGAGGGCTAGTCAGTGAGGTTTGACATACATGAGAGTTGACAAAGAACCTTCTCCTTCCTGGTGAGGAAAGAGACTCTTCAAACGGAAATTCCCGTTATAAATGCATTCCTTTACAAACGGAAAATGCACACACTGCATGTAGGGCCTTCCTTGTGTCTGCTGATTCTCCTTGACCTCTGGCTCAAAATATCCACACACTAAAGAGGCATTCGGGTAGAGGACTTACTCAGGAGCCACTCAGGACCCTCCTGCTATCACATCAACCCGACTCTCTTTTCGCTCGCTCATCTGCTTCCCTGCCTAAGTCCCTTTGATGTTGCTCTAACAGAATACCAGAGCTGGGTACCATAGAAAGAAAAGTGACTCTTGAGATTCAAAGGATGTTGCCAGCCTCTCCTTGCCTCTGGTCAGGACCTCATATGGTAAATGGTATCACTGTGGCAGAAATACTTGAAATGGTGACCATACACTGAGATGAGAAGTGAGAGCAACTTGGGCATGGGGTGGTCATGCTTACCCTGTTCAGAATAACCAGAGTCCCTAAGCTCTACTTTAATCTCGTCTGAAGCTAGCATGCTAAACGGCGTAATTTTCTTACGCTGAGCTCACCTCTTAAAGGAATATTGTTGCAGTCAGTAACTATCCTTCTTGTCCACTGCCCAGGAAAAATAGCCAAAGCCCTTTACCTTCCTGATTTTCCTCCATCTTGGACGCATCTCCATTAACTTTTGGAAAATATGTCTGTCAATTGATTTACATATTGTCTTGGTGACACTGCTGTGCCAGTTGCTTGTTTAAGGCCAATGTAGATGCCATTCTGCTGATACTGTTTTGTGTGTGATTAATACAAGTAGGCTTTGAGTGAAGCAGTTTATCCCTCAAAAGGTGGGCAGGCTTGGAAAACTGAATGACAGCAACAACAAATGATGATTAGCAAGCCAATACCAGACAAGAGGAGACTCGAGGAAGATAGGGTCTGTTTTAGGGGACATAGTCCATCATGGCAGGAAAGGTACAGTAGTCAGAATGAAAGTAGCTCATCATGCCATGACTGCAGCAGGAAACAGAGGGGGTGATTGCCCCTGCTCAACATGCTTTCTCCACGTTACTTAGTCTGGGACCCTAGCTCATGGGTAGGTGCAGCCCACATTTAGGGTGGGGTCCCCTGCCCCTTAGTTCTCTCTGGTGATCTCATAAACACAGCCAAAGGAGTGCTTCACTAATTCTCTAGATGTTACTTAATTCAAGTCAGAACCGACCATTACAGAGTCTGAAAATTCAATGGAATTTTCTACTATGTTTTGAACTTGTTTGGGCCCCTTTGCCCCCTCTAATTTCTCTCTTTGGGGATGGTAATATCACCCTTCTGTGTGTTCTATCACTATATTCTTAGAAGTGGTTAATGGGTCAGGTGCCATAGACTTGTAGCTGGCAAGAATGGTACCCCCAGAATAAACCAACTCTTCAATCTCATCCGTATTCATGTAGATGATGGAAATTTGAGGGTTAGAGTTTATACTGAAGTAGTTAAGACTGTCAAGGGCATTGGCATTGCATGCAATCATTTTGCATGTAAAAGAACACAAATTTTGGGCACCTAGGTGGTGGACTCATCACACAAATTCCTACATGGCTAGACTTAGAAATTAGAAGTGTGGGCTGGTGTGGTAGAATATTAGTTTAAGATGTGTTGCATATGTTTATGCTGAGGAAAATTTGTTTAATGATGCAAAGATGTGTTGCATTCTTCGATGTTGCATTTATTTAATTCTATGAAGCTGTGTTGAAACACCTGGTTAGTCTAATAAAGAGCTGAATGGCCAGTAGCAAGGCAGTAGAAAGGACAGGCAGGGCTGGCAGACAGAGAGAATAAATAGGAGAAATCGGGAAAGAAAATATCAAGGAGCAAAAAAAAAAAAAAAAAAAAAAAAAAGGAGAAGAAGGGAAGGAATTCAGGGGCCAGCCACCCAGCTACACAGCCAGACAAAGAATAAGAAGGAAAGAAAAGATACACCAAAATAGAGAAAGGTAACATCCCAGAGGCAAAAGTAGATGGAATAATTTCAGTTAAGAAAAGCTGGCTAGAAACAAGTCAAGATAAGACTGGACATTCATAAGTAATAATAAGTCTTCATGTGTATTTATTTGGGAGCTGGGTGGTGAGTACTCAAAAATGTCAGAGAGACTACAGACAAGTGGGCTGGCTCATTAGGTACGGGTATATATTGCTAACCTTGACCACCTAAGTGTTATCACCAGGACTTCATGGTAGGAGGAAAGAACCTACTCCAGCAAGTTGCCTTCTGCCCTCTAGATGTATGCCATGGCATGTACACACACACACACACACACACACACACACACACACACACAAAGATTCTTGCACAAAATAAAAATAAATGAGTGCTTAGAAACAGAAATAGGAGTTACTACAGGTCTAATAATTAGTCAAGGTGACTTCATCCTGGAACAGGGTGGGCTCATTACCCTATATGACTTGAGCATCCTTATAATAAAATATATCTTGACATAGATACATGTGAAAGCCTCATGTACAGGTTGGAGTTTGTCTGCAAAAGTGAAGGATCTACCAGAAGGCAGGAGAGAGGCCTGGAACAGATTTCTTCCTAGGGCCTTCAGTGGGAGCAGGGTCCTGCCAACTCCCTGTGTTTGGACTTATAGCCTTTAGAGCTGTGTGATAATAAATGTCTGCTTTCCTAAGCCACTTAATTTACGAAGGTGCTTTGTTACGGAAGCCCTGGAAATTGATTACTGTCCTTTCCTTGTCCCCTCTGCTTTGCATTCCACTCTGAGCCAACATTTGGAAATCTGTCACCCTTATACCACAAAACAGTGGCAGGAGGGCCTGCCTCCTGGCCTGTGCCTTTGACCTTCATGAGTTCTGGGCCTTTGCACGGTTCTTACATCTATGTGGTGGCCATGCTCAGGCATCGGATCAGGGAAGTATAAAAATTGAATCAAGTGTTAGGTGGCTGAAGAACATGGTCGTCTGAAATGTGCCCATTGCATGTCCACAGCACTGCAGGCAGGCACAGAAACAGAGCACAGTGGGAGAGCCACAGTCTGAAGTGTGTGTTCGAGACTGTGTATGGTAGGGTAGTGATACAGGGTACAGTGGTAGCAGTAGTCAGATCCTAGTGTGAGGGTGTCTGCAGGGAGTTTCCTCTCTCTCTCTCTCTCTCTCTCTCTCTCTCTCTCCCACCGTGTTATGTCTGTGTGTATGTGTGTGTGTGTGTGTGTGTGTGTGTGTGTGTGTGTATTGAGAAGACTGTTATCTCCTACTTAGCTTTGAATGGATGGATGTGGATTTAAAATTGATACTGGGTTAAAGGAGGAAACACAGGTTCATTTACTTGTGCTCGTGCAGTTATTCAAGAGTAACTCACAGAGACAAAGATTTGGAGATCAACCCAGCAAAAAGAGGTGAGACAAAGTTAAGGCATCAACAGGAAGGGATGGAAGAGTCTTGGGTTTCCTTGATGCCAGCAGGAATTTGCAGTCTGTCTCCCTCCTGAATTTGTAGGAAACTCTTCAGAGGGGAGTTTTGAGCCAGTAGAGTGCTGGAAGGCTCTACTTTAGTTAGATCAGGTAAGTTATGGTAAGATTTTAATTGTGTTTACTTTAAAATAATATTTAGGCCAAAATAACTACCCCTTCAATACATATATGGATATATACATGTATGTATACATGCACATCACACACACAAGCACACACACACACACACACATACACACACACACACACACACACCTAGAGTAGCTGGACAGCCATTTTTCCAATAGTGTTGAGCACTCTGATTCTGGAGCACACATTATGCTGTCTTCACCTTCCAGGTCAGGAGTGAACCAGCGTCAGACGGGGCCCATACTTGCACCATTTATTGTAGTCATTCAAACCACCCTCTCTCTGCCTCTTCCTCCACTTACCTCTGCCCTTTCCCAAGACTCCGGAAGGCAGAAGAGCCGGGTGTATCTATCTGCAGGATAGTTCCTCACACCTTCAGAATCTTTGTCCACTTGCAAGCTTCCCCAAGGAGTCTCAAAAGCAGCAGCAAAGGAGAGCAGGCAGTTCAGATGGCTCACACTCCTGTGTGAGCCTGCTTGGGCAAGAGCCAGACATATCTGGGTTCTAACATCACTTGCATCCCAAAATTTGGGAAACTTGGGGATATAAACTCCCTTGCCGTGTCCCCAGTGCAATGTAAAAGTCTCTACACAGTGAGGGGGCCCCAGTGATTCTTCACAGTGCTCACAGAGATTGTTCCAGCCTAAGGCTATTTCTCCTTCCCTCCCCTTTGGGGTGAGCGCAGATGAACCACTCCCCAGAGCTCTGCATCTCATCCCAGGCTCTGCTGCAATGTCTGCAGCTTTTCTTGTACCCCACACCAGGCCCGCCCCATCCAGCAGGGTTGCCTGCTTTAGCTGGGCTTTCACCCACACAGAAAACATTGCTGAAAACTGCTGCTGAGAAAGCCTTTTGTCAAGAAAAGGTGACTTCTCTTAAGAATGGGCGAATTTCAGAAGGGGGAAAACATCCCTAGTCAAATCTGTGGCCAAGTCCCCATGGATGTTTTGGTTTACGTGGTTCACTGCTTCTGCTACTGTCTATCCCGCACTGGGATAGGTGCTTTGAGTAGACGTCTTTGCTGACACAGATCCCTTCGCTTTGTGAATAGCGCGATTACTAAACAATGAAGCCATTACATAAGGAGCAAGGGCTGGCTGGAGCCAACAAATCTGTACTCTAGGTTTACAGAGCTATAATTATCCAAAGTTTTAAAACACAATGATGTCTGCTGAAAAGGAACATCTGGGAGGGAACCAAGCCATCCCCATTAAAGGCACCGTGCGCATCCCACAGATTGGATGGCTCCAAGTTAATGGGGTGGCGATTTTTTTCAGATGTCACTCAAGTTAACAAATGTGCCGAAAGGTTTAAGCAGAACAAATGTGCAGAGGAGAAAATTCCAGATCAAGGAAAGGTTTATAAGATCAGCTAGAGCTTGGCGGCCAAAAGCATTCCAGGCTGCTGTGCTGAACATCATGAAGAGAAAGCAACACTTTAGGAGGAGTTTTCCCACATGAAAACGAAAGCCTTTTCCAGTTGTCATTCCATTTCAAAATAAACATTTAGCCTCCAGAGGACCCGCGTGAAAGAGCAGGGCAGAATAGGGTGGTGTCCTATGGGACTCAGGGTTAGGAGAGGGGTGCTGGTCCTGGGTCTACTAGTAGTTCTGGGAGATCGCAATCTTTTTTATTTAAATTTAAATTAGAAACAAGGTTGCTTCACATATCAATTCCAGGTCCCTCTCCCTTTCCCTCCCCTCCTCCCACGCCCTCCCACCAACCCCTCCAATATCCCCTCATTTCCCCAGGGAGGGTGAGGCGATTGGAATCTTGATAAATAGATTTGGTCCAGGTGGCAACATTGCACCTTGATTTGAAGGTGTAAGTTAACACCATGCTCTCTTCCATAGCGATCTTTCCTGAATCAAGGTATAGTTCCCATGCTTAGGGCCCCTCTGGATGTTTTCCAGTCTGCAGTTTACGTAGCCAGTTTCTTTTGCTGAGTGCATTTCTTCTAAGTGAACAATTAACTGAAAAGAACAAATCAGACCGAAGGATCACAAGGTCACTGTCTTCTGCCTAGGAGAATGACTGCTTTTTGCTTGTTTTTGTTCTTGAGACAAGGTCTCACTATGTAGCCCAGTTTGGTCTGGAACCTTCCCTGATAGCCTAGGCTATCCTCAAGCTCTAGCTGCTCCTGCCTTGGCCTCCCAGGTCACAGACATGAGACCTAGGAGATGATTGTTTTAGAGGAGCAAGTCTTGTGGGGTAGGAGGTGAAGGGCGCTGGAAGAGGAACATTCTTCTTCTATCCCATCTTGCAGGGCACCGGGGCACTGTCACCAATGAGGCTGGCATGCTCCTGAAGCAGAAGTCTGACATCATTTTGGAAACCCTAAGGTACACAGCAGTGCCGGCAGTCAGGAATGTCTCCTGCTTTCCTCTAGGCACCTCCATTCTTCTGTGGAACCCCTTCCTCACCTTCAGTCCCCTGCTATTTCCCTTTCTGGTTGTCTTTCCCAAAACATGAGGATGGAGCTCATGCTAGCTTTCACTGATTTGTTCACTAAAGGAGTGAACAAGTTCGAGTAGTTTATCAACTTCCCCATAGGTGTTTGCATCTTGATTGCTCTAACAGCAATATTGGAGCATCATGAAAATAAAAGCAATAGTTACCAATAGAGCCATCCTAACACCATTGGAGCAAGCCTATTTGTCTCTAACCTCTCTCCTGCATCCTCTACACCGCCGTGTTAGATATTTGCCCATTTCTAATACTTCCATCCATATGCAGATCACCTCTGCTTTCCTCGGAAGCTTTTGCTAGAAATTCTGGATTCTAATGCACAGTGCTGTGGGCTGAGTTTCTTTGCTCCCTACCTTATTTATTTGTGTGTGTGTGTGTGTGTGTGTGTGTGTGTGAGTGTGCAGGCACACGTATGTCATAATGCACACATGGAGGTCAGAGGAAAGGTTTTGTGAGTCTTTTCTGTCCTTCCATTTTGTTGAGCAAGGTTTCTCATTTCTGCTTCCATGCCATACACTCCAGGCCAGCTGGCCCATCAGCTGGCCCATTCTCCTGTCTCCACCTCCCATCTTGCTGTAGAATGCTGAGTTTGCAGTTGGGCACCTCCACTTCCAACTTTTATGAAGGTTCCAGGGAGCAAACTGTGGCTCCCTGGTCTTCACAGACAGTACCTTGCTGAGCTATCTTCCTGGCATTCTAAGTTCTTAGGCTGGAGTCTTACCTCCCTATAAGACTGTATTTGGAGAGAAGGTTGGTAAAGAGGTAATTAAGGGTGTGCAAGGGTCTCAAGGATGAGGCCTGCAGGAATCCTTAGAAGGAGAGTCACCACAGATGTCTTCCTCCTCCATGTCCACATGAAGAATAGAGAGAATGTAGTCACCTGCAAACCAAGGGGAGAAGCCTCAACTGAAACAAAATCTTCAGATGCCTCCAGTTTTCCAAATAATGAGAAAATGAACTTCTGAGTTGGAAATAACAGTGCATTCTGGTTATCTTAGGATTCAAGAAGCTACAGCAGGGGGGGTCATGAGATTATGACTACCAGGCAGGTCTGGGCTACAATGTGAGACTTCATCTCAAAAAATATATATTTCTAATTAGTTAATTCCTGTTGTTGAAGCTACCCAGTCTGCAGTATTTTGGTATGGCAACCTAGTAACTGGCTTCTAAGATGTTTGGGTTAAACGACAAGAAAGAACAAGGTAGCTTTTGCTATCCAGGAGCTAGCCTGGCTATTCTCCCACAGAATGTGAATACTGAGTGTCAAACCAAGACAGACCCATGCCAAAGCTGTGATGCACCTGGGAAAAAGCAAGACCACTGCAAACAACCATGTCAGAATCCAGACAACCACAAGATGCTGTATGGCCATAGACATGACCTTGCTCTCCTAAGGATGGCTCCTTCCTGGCCAGTTTTACCTTTAGCTCTAGGCCTTACTTTTCCTGGACATTTAGTCATAGACTCCCTCTTACTTCCTAAAGCATCTAACTCAGTGAGACTTAACTCTTTAAATCCTTCTTGGAGACAACTAACACTACCCCAAAATCTATCCCAAGACCTTTCAGGAATCATGTGATTGAGTCGCCACATGGTTCCTTCTGATTTTTAGCCAGTGTGGATGTGCTGTGTACCCTAGTGGCAGACAAGACTGCAGGCCGTTGACAAAGCTGGGGCACGTTGACAGCTTTTTATGGCTATTGAGCGATTCTTATCAAAGCAACAGGTCTGTTTTTGTTGCTTTGACAATTTTGGCACAACCTAGACAGACATTTGAGCATCACGGTCTTTTTCAGTGAATTTGATGCTGCACAGTGTATCCTGTTTAATTGTGTGTGGCGTGGATTTGGAGGAGACAGAAGGAAAAGGACACATAAAGACAGATGTTAAGAGTGGGAGCAATACCGCTGTAAGCCAGGGAACGCTGGCCTGAGGTTGAGAAGGGGCAATAAATGGTTCTTCCTTGTAGCCTTTGAAGGTCTTATGGATTTGTCAGTACCTTTGGGGTTTTGCTTCCCTGTAGAACTTGAAGAGGGGAAGATTTCTTATGTTTTTAAACTGTTTACTGTGACTTGCTAAGGGATCCTGACCCAAAAAAAAAAAAAAAAGACAGTTAATGTGGCTTTTAAACAGAGTGACAGTTGTGTTGGAAAGAAATTCAAACCACACAGTGGGAAAACCTCCACTGATTGCCTTGGAGAGATTGTTGGTAGAAGTGTGAACATTAAGGAGCCTGTGCTAAGGGCCCCAAAAGGAGAGGGGGGACTGAAGATAAGTCTATCACCTCAGAGAAGACACACTGTCGTGATCTGAATGTTGGTAGAAATATGGATGCCAAAGGCATTTCCGGTGAAAACTAGAAAATTATGAATGTATTTTTTTGACCCTGGGTCAGCAAAATGGCTCAGTGGGCAAAAGTGCTTGCTGTACAGGCATGGTGAGCTGCGTTTGAACACTAGAACCCATGGTGGAAGGAGGGAACAGACTCCAAAAAGTTTCCACTGACCTTCCACTGCCTCCACACGTCTCTGCCCCCACATACAGGCAGGCACACACACACACACTCATATGCACTCATATGCACTCACATGCTCACACACACACACGCACATACATGCACAGGTACACACACTAGTAATAATAATAAATAAGATAAAAGCTGAAATCCCATTCTTGTTATAAGCATCAGGAACTTGACTGAATTTGTTCTGCTGTTGGGTGGAGACAGAACTTATGACAATGAACTTGGATATTGAACGCATGAGATTTCCAAACAAGGTATGGGAAGTGTTACCTGATTTCCCTTTACAGTTTATAGTAAGATGTCAGAGGAAAGGTAAATAGAGCAAGAAAGTATTAAGCAAAAGTGAACTAGCTTGTGCTTAATGATTATGAAAATTCTCACCAAAATACAAAAAGTAAAAATATGAAAAAGCATGTGTAGCACAGGCCTACCTCTAACTTAATATGTAGCCCAGGTTGACCTTGAACTTCTGATCATCCTGGCTATCTTCCAAGTTCTGGCATTATAGGCATGAACCTCTGGATTATGAGGTACTAAGGATTCAGCTCAGGGCTTTGTACATGACAAGCAAGACCTCTACCAATTGATATACATCGTCATGCCAAGAATGGATACGATACTAGAGAGAACACAAGGCTTGGGGTAGATAACATTTATAGAGATTAAGTAAAGGAGTGTGTCTTGAGGATCCAACCAGAAACACAACACACAAGTCAGTTTATCCTACACACACACACACACACACACACACACACACACACACACACACATATTCTCTTGCCTACTGACTTGCACTCCCCTGTGAAATAGTGAAATGTGTGGAAGATCAACAAGGATTTGAAGAATGTGATTGATATCTGCAGATGAACTGGCAGCCTGGGAAAGCTAATTTAAATAATTAAATGATGAGCTATGGAACTCATTGAACTGATAATATTTACATGTGATTTTGGTCTTACAGTTGATGCCAGATTGCACTCAGACATTAGGATTGAGTTAAGAGTCTTGAGATGGCATGAGTATATTGCACATAAGGGGAAGATATGAATTTGGAGGCTAGAGAATGGACTAGAATTGACAAGTATTTCCTATCTCCTCTAATCACGTTCAAGTCTCCATACCAGGTACCTGAGTATGTGACTAGTTTTGAAAACTAGTCTTTACAAATATAACCAAAGTATGACAAAGTTATACTGAATTGTGATGAGCCTCCAAGCCAATGACTAGACTGTATGAAATAAGGGCTTGTGACCTCATTAAGAAAAGACACAGATCTCTGTGAGTTCGAGGCCAGCTTGGTCTGCAGAGCAAGTTCCAGGACAACCTCCAAAGCAATACAGAGAAACCCTGACTCGAAACAAAACAAAATGAAAGGAAACAAAAAAGACACAGACACAAAGAAGGCAGTGTAAGGATGGAAGAGAGACGGATGGGATAAGCCAAGACATATCAAGTGTCTCCGGGAGCCACCGGAAGTGAGGAAGACATGGGAAGGATTCTTCCCTCAAGCATCTGGAGGAACATGAACCTGTAGTCACCTAAGTTTCAGATTTTCAGCCTTCAGAACTTCAAGAAAGTAAATGTCTGGTCTCTAAAATATATTAAAAAGTGTGTGCGTATGCGTGTCGAGGAGAGGGGGGTAACGACCAAAGTACAATGATAGAAGTATGAAACTGTAGGAAATTGTATTTTTGCCCTCTACTAAAGGAAGGTCATAGCGGCCCGGAAAGTGGGAGAGGTATCTGAAGGTCTGTGGTGGTGTAAGACTGTTTTCCACTCCTCCTTCTGATGTGAGTTCTCTGACCCAGAACTTGGAATCCTGATAAGAGACACAATGCTGCGCACATACAACATCAACAACAAAAACAATAAAACAGGAAGTATCCAGGGCAACTACAACCCTCATTTCTGTAACTGGTTGTGCAAATGTAGCTGAGTTTCGTGACTCCCTTTTCCTACTACCCATTCTTTATCCCCTTTCCCTCCAATAATTGGTGACGGTTTTTTTTTTTTACATGGTGATATGATGCAAGCCTTCCTTCCTGGAGGATCTAAGGCACTGGTGGTCCCAACAAGCTTGGGTTATAAGTTTTCATTACCTTTAATCATACTGCCTGATAACATTAAAAGGTACTGTAAAGAATGCCTTGTGTCCAGACACACTTTTCCTTTCTTTCTTTCTTTCTTTCTTTCTTTTTTTTTTTTTTTTTTTGGTGTTTTGAGACAGGGTTTCTCTGTATTGTTTGGAGACTGTCCTAGAACTCACTCTGTAGATCAGGCTGGCCTCGAACTCACAGAGATCCACCTGTCTCTGTCTCCCTAGTGCAGGGATTAAAGGCATGTGCCACCAACACCCAACAACACACTTTTTCTTCAGAGGATGTGAATTAGGGATGCAATCTTCCCCCCTAATAGTTGGGGTCAGTCACTCTAGAGAGCACAGTAGGGTCTTTACCAATTGATTCTGAAGCATGAGGTGTACAGAGTGGCTGGGTGACCATCTTAACTTCCAATTCAATGCAATGACAGTTTTGTCTCTTGGTGTCAGTGTTTGTCCCTCTGAAACTAAGATTTCTGAACCAGTACAGCATAACTCATGGAAACAGAAAGCAAACTTTGCTAGTGGGTCCCTATGGGTACTCACCGCCCTTGATTCCTGGGCCGATGAATGGTGCCCGTGGGAGAAACAGCCCCACATACTGAGTGCTGATTAAGAGCATCTGCGGCCTTCTGGAGAACCTAGCTCTAGCTCAGCAAGGTATTGCTGCCTTGCTGGTGCTGTAACTGAGTCTTTCAAAGGTCATTCCACCTCTCTGTTAGGCCAGCTGCTTCACGGTTGTGGGTAGTGCAGTAAGATCATAACCTCCATAAACATATGTGCGTTAATGTGCCTCCTGGATCAGAAATAATGACGTGTGGAATACATACTGTTATGAGATCGAAAACATAAGTCCACTGGTGCTCATGTTAGGAGAAGTATTCTCCATAGGAGCTTGTCAAAGGTTAAACACAAAAACAAAATACCACCTCTGTCTTCCACTGACACCTCAAGTATCATGGGACCTACTATCACAGCCCAAGTAGCCGAACATTGACTAGTACCTTTTCTTGTTCTGAGAAACCTTCAAAACTAGACACCTTCTGGTTCACTAGGTAGATTTCTCACATGAGAAATGTGTTGCCTCTAACATCCAAAGATGCCTAATAGGCTCCTCCTTGGTGGTAGGAGGGGGCTCACATGCAGTATCCTTTATGTTTGGGGAGAAATGTATGAGCTGAATCCATGGGAATTTCACAGGGGTCAAAGGTCTCCAAATATTTATCAGATTTACTTCTGTATACTAAAATACAAATCATAAGAATGAGCCTAAAGTAGCTGTTTTATTGTTGTTATTGTCTGAACCACTGGCTCCAATCAGAACATTATCATCAACGTAATAGGATAATGTGACATCTTTGGAAGGAAAACGACGATTGAGATTCCCCATGAAACAATTTATGAAATCATCTGGAGAGTTGGACATCTCAGAGGCAAGATAGCAAAAGTGTATGGTGAACTGCTTCTGTTGGTCCTTTCTGATAGATATGAAGAAAAGCAGATTGGTCAAACTGGTTGCCGCATGCCAGATACAAGACATGTTCATTTCTTCAAGCAAGGAAGCCCCAGCAGGTGTGCAGCAGCTGTAATGACAGTCACCACCTGGTCATGCTTTTGATAATCCAGCATCATTCTCCTGGATCCAGCTGCCTTCTGCATGGTGTCAGCAGGCAAGGTAAGTGGGAATCTGATGGAAATCCTCACCCCTTCATTTTGAAAGTTCCAGATGTTAGCACTAATCTCTGAAACCCCCCCCCCACAGACGTGGCATTGCTTTTGATTTATTTTTCCAAGGCAGGGGAAGTTCTAGTGGTTTTCTCTTGATCTCCCTCATTCTATTGGCCCACATTTTAAGATTAGTGAATCAGCGTGGAGGTGGGGAGGTCCTGCCAGCTGCCGAGTGTGTCCATTCCAATTATGCATTTTAGACCTGCGGAAATAATCATAGGATGGGTCCAGAGAACCACTGAGCCATTGTGGGACAGAACTGAAGGAAAACACTATTACTTAATCCATAAGTTACTTCCTTCCATAAGCCCCTATTCCAACTGGTTTCCCTGGATTCAGATTCAATTCATACCCAGTGTTCGGCAGTATCCAAAAGCTCTGATTATTTCATTTTTCTCAATGTACACTTAACCCTAGTAGAAGGTTAGATGTCCCTTTGGGGAAGGCTAGGAGAAAGATTAACAACATAAATCTTTGTCAGTGTACCAGGGTCTTTCCTCAAGGGGACCAGCTTCTCCATCACTCGGAGGGCTCTGAATCTGTAAACCGGATTGATTCTGGGAACTGATTGAGAGGCCGCGCCCCTTGTTATAGCTCAGTTTTTATATTTTAAGTATTATAGTTCAAATCAGACCCTCTGAGTTGGGGGTGAGTAGGATGAATATGATAATCCCTTCAGCACAGCCATCTCCCTAAAGTTTAAATCTGTTAAAAAGTAACTCTTTGGCAAGTTCATATATGCATATACTGAGTTTGGGGTATTTTCACTCCCTCTCCATCACCTTCTCTCACTCCCTTGACTGCCTCCCACTTTGATGTATGTTCTCCTCCTTCTTGGACTCACTGAGTTTAATCATGACTGTGTGCATGGGGGCTTATTTACAGGAACATGGACAACTTATCAGCAGCTACATCCCTGCAGAAAATGATGCCCCTACCACCAGCACACACTAAGGGCCCATAATCCTCCACAGAATGGTAAGGCCTCATAAGCCTCCTCTCCCATGCATGATGCAATGGAGGCACACCCAATGTTGTACAGATATCCACAGCTGCAGTGAGTTCATGTATGCAATAGCCATGTCATGTCCGGAGGATGCGACTTCTCAGCTCTCCTCCCCAACCTCGGGCTCTCACATGTGTTCTCTTGCATTGTGTTCCTTGAGCCTTGGCAGGAGGGACATAGACATTCCATTTAGGGCTGAGCATTGCACATCACTATCAGCCTTTTGACCAGTGATGAGTTTCAGCTCTTATTGTTATCACCCCATGCCAAAAGAAAAAAAAAAAAGAAATTCCTTCAGTGAAGGCTGGAAGCAATACTCATCCATTGATATAAACATACGCATTTTCCAGGAAGTCTGACAATACATTCATCATGTCCGTTTCCCCCTATTTATCTTTTAGGCTTTTTTCCTCTGTGTTAAACTTTGTTCTGTGATTCACTTTGGTGCAAAAAAAATCCTTGTTTGCTAGGATTATTCTGCCCATATGATAAAACTTCAGTGGAAGCTATGGTTTGGATGCTTCTTGTCTGTCAGAGGCTCCCATGTCAGAGGTGTAGTCCCCAGTATGGCCATGGGAAAGGTTGCAAAATCTTTATGAGATGGAGCCATTTGGAAGGCACCGGAAGTGTCCCCTCAGAAAAAAATTAATGTAGTTCTCATGGGACTCAAGTTAGTTCTTGTTCTGAGAAGACCGTAAGTGAAACAAGGCCATAAAGTTAGAACCATGAAGTATTTCCCAGTTCCTCTTGAGCCGTAGACCATGGGGTTTAAGATCCTGGCTCCTTGGCTGCCTGAGAACATTCCTGAAGTGTGTTCTGCACAGGTTTCTAGACTTTTGCTTGGCCCTCAGTGACAACAGAGCTCAGCTACCTGCTGTGATAGCTGCTTCATAACACATCTCTCTTCTCTACCGGTTTCTACCTATAATCCCATCTCCCCGCCGTCAGCTGAATTGTGGACTCCCCAAATTCAGCACAGACATGTCTCGAAATTCTTAAGCTGGAATCTTTAACCCCTGACCACAGAAGGGCTGTATTTAGAGATGGAGTATTTAAAGGGGCAATGGGATTTAAAAGAGATCATGTGTGTGGGCTGTAGTTCAATCTAATTGGTGTGCTTCTAAGGAGAGACAAGGACACACAGGGAAGCCCAGAGTGAGACGCTGGGAAGACACAGTGGGGAGAGGACTATCTGCAAGGTACAGAGGGACATCAGGAGAAAGCAACCTTCTGACACTCTGATCTTAAGTTGCAGCCCCCAGAACTGTGAGGATGGACATTTTTGTTTGATCCACCCAATCTGTGATACTTTGCTGTATCAGTTTGCGCTAATTAGTTCATTCCTAATAAACTACTTGCCCTTGAATTGGCTCAAGGTCTGTATCTGGGGACCTCAATCTAATATTCAAAGGTTATTGGGTTTTTTTCAGCTTTTTTCCTTTCCTAATATATTTAATTTTGCTATGAATTCCCTTCGAGGCATGTTTAATGCTTTGACATGTAACATTTTATAGTATAATGACAAGAATTTGTAGGACAATAGGAAGCTTTGATAGACTATCATTGTTTACTTTGAAATAGTTTCTAGATCCCAGTGTAACTTCTCTAAAGCATAATTATAACTTGGAAGGCCTCATATCAGATGTATGTGTGCTCCATAATATGTGTCACTTAAGCCTGATGACTAGAATTAGTCACAAAGGAGCCAGAAGCACAGCTCAGTGTGCTTGCCTGTAACATCCCTGCTTTTACAGTTTTTTCATAGGCACCACAATTTCTTCACTATACTAGTTCCTTTTACTGCTGTGAGAAGACACCATAACGCAGGCATCTTATAAAAGAAAGTGTTATTTAGGGCTTACAGACATAGCAGCAAGCATGACAGCAGGCAGCTGGGCCTGGTGCTGGAGCAGTAGCTGAGAGCCTACATCTTGAGACACAACCATGACACAGAGACAAAGATACTGTGGATGATGTGAGTCTATTGAAACCTCGAAGCCATCACCCAGTGACATACCTCTTCTAAGAAGGGTACACCTCCTAATCCTTCCCAAGCAGTTCCACCAAATGAGGACCAAGTGCTTAAATATATGAGCCCATTCTGGACATTTTCATTCAAACCATCACATTAACCAGAGACAATAAGCCTGGAGTGGAATCCTTAGACTTTCTTACCACACATTTTCTGTTTTATTGTGACTTCTTGTCCTGCTCTCTGAAGTGGTTTTATCCATAAGTATTGCCCATACAACTCATAATTCTTTTGTATTATCAGACTTCTACATTTTTTGGACAACTATTAAGTTTTTCTTCCTAATTATATTTATTTATTTTATTTTGGGGCGGTGGGAAATGGTGGGTGCCACAGCTCATATGCAGAGGTTAGAGTAAAATATGCACAGATTGATTCTCTCCTTCTACCATGTTGGCATCAGTGATGAAACTCAGATCCTTAACCTTGGTGACAAGTATATTTACCTGCTAAGCTATCTTGTTTGCCCCATTACAGTTTTAACTTGCATTTCATTGACAAACAGGATGCTTAGATCTCATTTCTTTTTTTTGTTGTTGTTTTGTTTAAATTAGTAATAAGCCCACTTTACATGTCAATTAGATCTCATTTCTATCACTTGACCCATGTCAGGGTCTAGTCTATACATTTTATCCTCAAAACAAATGTTTGTACTTTTTTCTGATTTTAATAATAACTGCGTCTATATATTCTACTTTATCAGAATTGACGGTTCATTTTCCAGTAGGTCAAGAAACAATTTTCTGTTTGAAAGAATCCATGTACTTTTGTGAATACTCACATTTATCTAGGGACCCAAGATGAATTTAAAAATAAACTAGGACTTTCTTAGGGTTAGAAAACTCCTTCTGTAAGGGGCCATAGCAAATATTTTCCTCGTCTGGCAGCCATGTGGTCTCTGTTGTGACTGCACAACTCTGTCAATATGGCGCAAAGACGGCCACGTGCAGTATGCTGTGACAGTGCTTTGACACAATGCTACTTGTGGACATTAAAATATAAACGTAAATTTTAGAAAACATGTATGTGTCACAAACTACAACTTTTGTCTCTTCCCCAAGCATTAAAAAATATTCTTACAGGCCATGTAAAATCAGGTAATGGGCTATATTATGGTGTGACTCAAAATGTCTTCCAGGCCAGTGAGTTTGCACACCTGGTCCTCACCCAGGGGTGGTGTCTTAAGAGTTTGTGGAAGTTTTGGTAGGTGCTGCCTGGCTGATGGAGACAACTCAATGGGAACATGCTTGAGCATCATGGCCTGGCCCTGCATCTACTGCTGCTCTCTGCTTTCTGGTCCATCTGCCCTGTGAAGAGCTATGTTGTATGCTTCTGCCACAACAGATCCATTCTGCAGTCTGCCCTCCCACGGTGAATGCACCCTGTAAAACCCGGGCCCTGCAACTCCACTTCCTTTAGATTGCTTTTGTTAGTTATTTTGTCACAGAAACAAGGAAAAACATATCAAGGGATATTTGGCTCACGGGATCTATCTTTACAAGGCCTGAAATGCATCAAAATTTGACCTTAGAATTACAAAATAGAGCATTCCTCCTGCTAATGCACTCCCATTGCAGGCAACAGATACTGGAGACCTTAACCAAGTCTCCCTAACCACTCTCTCCACTCTCAGGCCTTACATGGATTTTACTACAGGCTATCATCATCATTGACTGATGAAACAGCCTTCCAACACGTATTATGCATTCTGTCTGCTTAGCTGTTTCAGGTTGTGAATCACCAGACCCAAGGCCCCACTCACCAATGGTTCATGCGCAAATACTTGTGATAAGCGATTTGTTTTGGACATGGAGTATTGTGTAGCATGCAGGAAGGAGAGGTGATTCAGCAATGCCAATGAATTGTTTATAAGAAAAAGTAGTGATGCCTGCAATAAGCATGAAATGCCTCTTTGGAGGGTGGTTATTGTGGGCAAGGTAGTTGTAGAGCGCAAAACAAAGAAAGGCTTTGGAACTGTGAGAAGCTGAAAACGAGCTCCCAACGCTGATCTGGGGCACGTACGAGTTACACAAATGGCATACGAGTCGTCAGACATGTCCGTACCCCAGATATCTGGCTCAGGAAGACTGCCCTTGAACTTGACGTTCTCTGAAGTGCTCTGGAGTCTACGCTGTGTGTGGTTGGGTGCTCACTTCTGTCTCTCGCTCAGATAGCAAGTCGCTCTTACATTGTTGGGGGTCTTGTGGTTGTTGTTTGTTCTTAAGTCTGCATCTTTCCAAACCAGGGTAGGGTTCAGACAGACATTCCAACCTTTTCACAATCACTCTGGCTTTGCTTTTGGCTGCGTTCAGTTTTGTTTGGGTGCAGCATACTTACTGTCAACACAGGCCCTTGCAGAATGAATGCTCAGATCCTGCATCATCCCAAGAGCTTGGCAGCCCCCCTTTCTTGGGCCAGTTGGAATCAGTTATTTCCAAGGTGAGAAAGTAAGAAGTATATGGGTACAGGTGTCAAAGCAAGTGTTTTCCTTCTTCTTCAACTCCAGTTTGTGGCGACATTTCTGTTAAGAAAAGGAGCCAGCCCCCCCCCCTTTGCTTTCACTAGCTCCCGGAGAGTTCTGACGTCTTTCCCTGGGTTTTTACTCATAATTTGCAGTAGTGTAGGGAGGGACCTGTCACCAGTCATTACACAAGAAACTGAAGCTGGTGACTCTCCAAGGGAAGGGGTCAGGAGCTTTGTGGTTATGGGCTCTGTAAAATTCTTAATTTTTGTTTTAAGAACATGTCCCCTCATTTTGTGCCTAGACCACCATCATGCTTTCCGGCCACACAAGAGAGAGATCCTTACCAATGAAAGATTCTAACAGTATTTCTGGGGTACCAAGGAAGCCCCAGGTAAGTATTCTTCTTTGCCGTTGAACCCTATTGAACCCTATTTGGTGCCAATTCAATTGCTTATACTTTTAAGGTTTAAAACAACTATATTGGGTGAGGGGGTGTACATGGATACAGAGTATGGGGAAGTCAGAAAACAGCGTTCAGGAGACATCTCTCTCTTCCCATCATGTGAGTCCCAACAATCAGACTTGGGTTTGGCAACAAGTACCTTTACCCACTGTCTTGCCAGCCTGACACATTAGGACTTAATCCTAGCCTACCAGCTGTCTGGCAATCATTGTTATGTGAGAATTGAAATAATGGGGAAACTAGCAGCAGAATTGACCAGTTGTTAAAATATCCTATACCTAGCCTCACTTGCTCTGGAGAGCATCATTTAATTTAGGGCCTTTCCTACCATGTGTTTTGGCCACCTGCATGTGCAGCAGCATGTTACAGAGTCACCATTCTAGGATGTTATTTGACCTCCATAGAGTTGGTGAAGTCAAGGACAGTCAGTAAAGTAAGCTTGACTCTCCCCAGACAGGAGCGTGCTTCACAAGGAATCCTTTGTATCAGCTGGGACACTCCCATCGCCATGTCCAGGGAAAGTTCACATGACCTCATTTCCCTCTCTTAATGTGACTAACTTAAGCACAAGACAGAAATATTCTTAGGAGATATATGGCTTCCTCCTACTCAGAGCTGGCCTCGAATGGAGGAACGGGGCCCCTGGGGTCAAAGCAAGACCTCACGAACTCTGGCCATTCTAAGACAAACAATGAAGACCTTATTCTAAATTGAGTTTGTAAGTAAAGGTTTTCCTGCAGACTTCCTTCCTCTTGCTCACTGCCCAGTGATACTGTGCCCTGGTGTCCCCACCCCCGTCCCTTGTCTGTCATTTTCTTCAAATGGCCTTCTCTTCTTAGATTTTTCTTCCATAATTCTGCACAAGGGAAAAAGACAAATAGAATGTCTTTTCTCTTACAACTTGCTACCCATCAGACTGGAAGGAGAGGTGAGACTGGTAAAATGAAAACCGTGTTTTGGTCTCTGTGTTCGACATTGGGAACTAACTGGAATTACTTAGTCCTTAGAGTGGGAAATCCCTTGTTGGGACTGAAGGTTTTAGCAGAAGAGGAGGAAATTCTTGAGTTGGCATGCCTTTGCTCTGTCTTACCAAGTGACGCCTTCTGCTACATTAGAATACAGCAAGGGGACTAGAGGGATGGCTCAGTTGTTAAAGGCTAGACTCACAACCAAAAACTTAAGAATGCAGAAAAGAAAAAAAAAAGGGCCATCAGTAGGTACCGTTCTACTTCCCAGCCTCCAGAACTGGATTCTTTATAAATGATGCAGTCTGTGGTATTCAGTTATTGCAACAGAAAACAGACTCAGAGGGCCTTGCTGACACATAATCATGTCTAGGACCAAGCAAGGTCTCTCCCATGCTTAGGAAGTCACCAAGCTGCACCAACACTTCTAGGTGGAGTTGTTGTGTTGCACTAAAATCCGTAAGCCCTAAAGCCCACACAGCTTGTTTAAGGTAGAAACTCCTATCAAACGTTCATTGTATCAGACTATCCTTCAGTAATGCCATTGCCATGCCACCTCCACTGCCCCACTCTTGACACAAGGAAGGCTCTCTGGCAAGAAAACTGGAAAAGAGGCATACATAGCGTGTGAAGTGGGGAGAAGCTGGCTTCTGCGTAAACACATTCTTCCTTCTGATCAGTTGGCAAGAGCAATAGACTGTCTCCAACCCACAACTGTCAGGTGTGGAGACCCCGGGTACCAACGCTCATCCTTCTTCCAGCAAACGAGATCTCTTATGTCACCAACAGAGAACAGTGTGTGTGCCACCTTCCTTAGTTATTGTTTGTTTGTCTGTATGGAGATATGTAGGCCACATCTGCCTCAAATTTACAGCCCCTCTTCCTCTGCTTCCCAGGTGCTGGGTGCTACACAGTTCATTTGTGGAACCAACACAGTCATATTTGTCTATTCCTGAAACATACCTTTTCTCTTTTCCATGAACATAAGATAAAACCATCAGCATGCACCCACATTGCATAAAAAATGAATGTGTGTGCATTAAATGTGGTGAGTCTCCACTAAGGCAACAAGGTGATGGGAAATTTTTCTCTCCTGGTCTTTGAGAACCCAGGAAAAATGCTTATAATGTTCTAAATTTTATAATAGTTTGTGAGAAGTAGAACTGTGGTCCTCCCAATGCATCATTGAAGCAGGGTCTCCTATAGCTCAGACTGTCTTTGAACTCCTGATTCGCCTACTTCCCAAGTGCTAGTATAACGAGGCTGCTCCATCATGCTGGCTCAGCATTTGAGCTTATCAAGCCCTCTGGTCCAGGAACCAGCTACCAAAACGATTCTCCCCTGGAAAGATGGCACTAGTCGAACGCCTTCTCCTCTGGGCCTGAGCCTTCTTCCTGTTCCCTAGCCAACCTGGCTGCCAAAATGGTTGGCAGCACCCAGGTGTGATGCCAGGTAGTGCCCTTCCCTTTCCATCATGTGCTCTGCTGGCCCCCTCTGAGCATAGCTTGCACCCATCTGCTCCTCTCACCCTTCCATGCTGAAGAAGTAGGTGTTGTTTTGTCCCCTGGAGGAAGCCCATATTGTTCTATTCCTACCACAGAAGAAACTAGTCAGGAGCAACAAGGAAAAATATGGAGTGTAAGCCTGCATTTCCAGGTCATCAACATGCAGGCGAACATGCATGAAAGTGAGTGCTAATGTGCTGCATGATTCAGTGTTTGCAAGACTCCCAACCCATTTCCCATAAGCCACCCCCCACGTCACGTGGCAATAAATTCTAATTGCAACCCGTGCATGATGGTTGAACCAGCCAACTAGTGATCAAAGAAAATAACAAAATAAAAACAACTCAGAGATGGAGATAACTACCGTGTCCTAATTAACTGGCAAAGTCATTTACAAGCAGGATCATTGGGGTGACTCTGGCATTTGAAGCAATTAGAACAGGTCTGGTTTTCTTATTGTAACATTGATAGTTGCTACTGCCACCTCTCACAAATAATAGTAAAATTCTTAGTTATGAAAGTAGACCCAGCCTATGCACTAAAATAGACTTGGGTTATATAGGTTTTAGGTTATACTTTTTGCTTTGGGCTTTTTGTTTTATCTTGGGTTTTTGGAAATCCGTTAAAATAGTGTTAGACTTCTGCAATTGTTAGCAAAGCCAGAAAGGACTCCAATTTGGGGACATTCTCTGTTATATATTGAATTATATCCCTCATCAGCAATTATTTCATTCATAGGTGTGAGCCATTGACTTTTGTACTTTGAAATGAACCCAAGCATTGGAGAGCAAGACCAGATAAATAGGCCAATGTCTCATCTCACGCTGACTCTTTTCTCTCTATTATTTTCTTCCTCTCATCTTCACCGTCCTGTTTTTCCCTGAGTGCATCTGAATGTGTGGTAGAAAGGAGAAGCAGTCTGCTTTTAACCACTGTGTAAAAGTTCACAATGAATTAAAAATGCCCAACGGAGAATTCTGGTTAGAATAAATAGAATGTAATGTTTGTCTAGTTCTTCTTTCTTGAGAGGGTGTCTCGACTCCAGCTCATTCTCTTTAATTGAGTATTGTTAGCTACCTGGTATTAGGGAAATATCCCCCAGCAGATTTCAGCCCAGAACAAATATTTACAGTTAAGCAGTAAACCCCAGAAAGTGGCTTTGGAGATGGGCATTGGCGAAAGGGGGTATAAAACAACTCAGATTGTGTTCTGGACTTAGCCCTGCATGTGAAGACATTGCCGTAAAACCATTGGAGATGTTCATGCAATGTTTATTGGAAGAGTGCTGGCCTCCGTTAGGCCGAGGTAGAGGGTTAAAAGGCTCTGGGGGCTGGGATGTCACAGCACTAATGGGCACAATTTTTACAGACAGAAGGGCCAAGCCTTCGTCATAGTGGTAAATCTGTAGTGACAGACGTTTGTTCTATATTTGTGAATGACCTGATTTGGCATGCATGCAGCTCGTTCTACTGACAATAATGGTAACATGGTGTGAGGGGGAGAGAAGAAAGGAGAAGGGATGGGGAGGGGGGCGTGGTGGAGGGAGGAGAGAGATCCAGGCAGAGAGAAAGGGAGAAGGGGAACTGCCCATGTCAAACAGTTGGAGATCAGGAGCAACTGAGGGTGACCTAAAGAGAAGCTGTCCTTAGCGTCTGGTTGTTTTAATTTGGAAGGAAGCTTATGTTTATTCCTAATTGATTTGGGGGGATGGCCTTCCCTCCCTCTCTGCTCCTTCCTTCCCTCTCCCTCTCCCCTGCAGTCTCTAGGGAAGGGATTCAGAACAGCTGTCAGGCCATGCTAAGTGGATGCTTCTGCATCCAGAAATCTCCTATAATTTGCAACATTTGATTAGCCGTCCACTGTCTGCCTTGGTCCTGCAACCCATGGGCGTTTCAGGTAGGAGAGTAACTGGCCCGAAGTGATGAGAACAATGAAAGGCTGCCAGTCACTGGAAGGGAAATGCACACGATCCCTGCTTCCTCCCCATCTTTCAAGCCATCTCCCGTTTAAAGTAGCAGATATAACGCATAATATGAGCATGGCACCCAAAGATACCTCCAGAGGAAAGAGACAGAGAGACAGACAGAGACAGAGACAGATTAGATGAAGGGAGTAAGTATGGAATACTCAGAACTGCACAGATCCCTTCAAATATGCCACCCATCTCTGCTTTCGTCCATCCGTCCATCCACCTGTCCATCCATCCATCCATCCATCCATCCATCCATCCACCTATCCATCTTCCAGCTCTGCCTATGCAATTTTCTTCTCAGGTAGCCATCTAAAAATTGTATCTGGTGCTAAGATTTGCTTCTTTTCCTTCAGAGACACCCCATAAGGATTAAGATACGCTACCACTGAGGACACGAGTGCTTTAAAACCTGCAAGCACCTTTGTACACACTGGAGCGGGGGCTACAGAGGACAGATCATAAGGAGAAAACCCACTGAATTCCATTTCAGGGGTAGGGTTCAGTTCAGTGTCTTGAAGCAATAATGCTTCATTTTCCACCCTTCCCGCCCACAGTGCACCAAAGTGGGAGTATCCAGGAAGGAATTGATTCTTCCCTTGGCCACATAAAGGGCAGCCTTCTGAATTACTTGTGAAGTGTAACAGCTGTGAAAATGGAGGAGGAGGAAGATGAGGAGGAGGAGGGGGAGGAGGGGAAAGTGGAGGAGGAGGAGGGGGAGGAAGAAAACATCAATTCCCATGGCTGACGTTGGGAAGTTCTTGGGAGAGAATGGGAGTAAGACATGTGAGGTGACAGCTCATTCAACATAACTTGAGTGCTTACGAAAGAGATCAAAGGTACAGCTCCGAACTCACCAACATGACAATCCAAATGGGGAGACACACGAAAGGACTAATAATGCTAAATAAAACCATGCATATAGAACCAAAGTGACCAGGCTACCACGAGGTCCCCATAGATGCTATCTGCCTTTCACCTAAAAGGAAGCAAATTAATTTTTCTAGACTTTTTATTATTTTATATGCATGAGTGTTTTGTGTGCATGTGTGTATGTGCACTATAAGTGTGCCTGGTGCCCATGGAGGTCAGAAGAGGGCATCAGATTCCCTGGGACCGGAGTGACAGATGATTGTGAGCTGCCATGTGGGTGCTGAGAATTGAACTCAGGTCCTCTGCAAGATTAACAAGTGTCCTTAACACCTGAGCCAGCTCTCCAACCCAAACAAAGCAAATTAAACAATGGCTTTGTGTGTCTCCTGACCTGATTATTCCTCCTTCACCAATCTCTGTTTAACTTCCCAGGCTCTTTGAGGCTTTTGTGGGTAAATGACACCAGAGAGATCTCTTAGAGTTGTCTCTACTCTTCTGTACTAGGTCAGACAGCATCGGGAAGCGATTCGTGTCCACCTAAAAATGTGCCATTATTGGGGTCTAGGAGAGGGGTTTTCATAGAATAAAGTTCAGAATGAGTAACTCTCCTGAACAAGTACTACAGCAAGATGTCCCCTCAACACAGCATGGCTGCTGCCCTTGCAAGAGGAGGAAGCTTCAGACTCAGAGAAGCAAGTGCACAGACAAAGGGTGTCGGTGTGAGAATGGAGCTGAAGACTGTGGTTCAGACAGCAGATCTAGTTCCCAACTCTGAGGTAAAGTATTCCTTAAGTTACAGGTTTAGGTGGCACGATCTTATGTTACACCCACAATGAGTCAAATAACCTGGGGGTTATCTGAGTTCATGTCTCAGCCATGCTGTTGGTCGATTGTAGCTCTGAGAAAGTCAGTAAAACATCATTGATGTTACTACTTCACTCCTTTGAAAAAAAAGATAGAACACATACCATCTGCCTGAATTTTATATGTGACACTTTATGGGAAAGCCGGAGGTCAATAACCAGGCAGAAGTCAATACAGGTGACTATGACTGTCACTGTAAGAGACCTGAGTACTGCCTGGGTTGAAAACCAATACAAATGCTAATGGTCAATTTTTTTCTTCACCTTCATCCTTGTAGGCAGAGTCCTGGTTTGGGGTTTGTATTACCCTGTTCTTTAAGAAGAAGCCACCCTCAGCAGTCCTGATAAAACTACTTTCTAAGATGCCACACTGATACACTGTAACCTACTCCATCACTTGGCTTAGAAAATCAATCTTTCAAGGAAGGATTCCAAAAGTTCTCATTCGATGGCAGGATCACAAGTTTGGTTTTTTAAATTCATTTTTCCCCCTTGAGCTCTTCCTGGAACATGTCCATCTCTCAAACACCGTGGTCCCTTTCTTTCTAGCCCCAAGAATATATTTATTGCCTTGTCCAGGGCCATTCCTTTGATTCTGAACGAAGGCAAACCATGATGCTAGCCTGCTAGATCCACAAGCAGCTGGGAGGTCGGATGGACCCTCCCAGGGTGCAGTGGGCTCTCATGTAACCTAGGGCCAGGCATCAGGGTGGATCCCAGAAGTTGGCAGCAGACCCCCGGGAGCCAGCTGTGTCGTCTGGACTTCTGTGTCAGTCACATTAAACAGAGATGGTCTTTCACTTACTCCCCGTTTGTCACAGGCCTCGCCCCAGAAAGTCTCCTTTCCTAAGGACTGGATTCAGGTCTCTGTTTGGCCTGGTGTCCCAGTCCCAATGCTGCCTTGCTCCTCTGGAACGTCAAATCACCTGTTTGGCAATGTGACCTCAAGTCAGGCGGGCCCCAGTCTACCCGTCTCCAGCCTCCTGCACCGGCTCTCGCCCTCTCGCCTCTTCAGAACTAAGCGAGTATGGTTTTCCAAATATAATTTTGCAGCCGGTATGTTAGTTGGGGCTTCTAATGAGGCATAGTAATTGCTTCTGCTACTTTCCAAAATGAAAATGAACCTCCAAAGAGCAGCTGGCTCCTTGCAATGCTCTCCTCCCTCCTGCTCTGCATGGTGCATTCCTCCTAGTCACTCAGAGCTTAGCCTTGCCTGCCTGAGCTGAGGGCAGGGCCTGGGGGAGATCTGGGAGGAATGTGTGGATGGCAAGGAAACGGGGTTCAGTGCTGGGATAAGAGGGCTATTGTGTGCTTTATTATATTGATGGGAAAAGAGAAGGAGGAGGCCGAGGAGGGAAAGGTCTGGCTTTCCTTTTGATTCACAAGATGCCCAGTATATGTGGTACTTATCAGTGTTTCTGAAAAGATGACCAAGTGTTTAGATGATGGGAAGATGTTTCTGCCTGCCTCCTTTTTTCCAAGAATCACCCTGAAGCAATAAAGGGAACAAGAAGCAATAACACAACCATCACATTCTGTAGGGTCAGAACACATCTGTCAACTGAAACTATAGAACGCTGAGATGAGAAACAGATGGAGGAGCGGTAAGCCACTCAGTGGAGCTATGGAAAATCAGACCCAAGAGTCAGGGGACACTATTGTGGATCAAGCCATCCCTTCCACAGGAAGCAGGGGTGTCTGAGCAGTTTGCAGGCTTGCTATTTAGTCAGATTAGGGTCTAGCATCAGTGGAAGTCCTGAGATACTGAGACAGAAATTGGTGAGGAGGACCTTCTAGTCCCTGGCTCTTCACAACAGCAATAGACTTGGACGCCAAGGGAATGAAGAACAAGGCCATTTGTCCTAGATAACCACCAAAAAGTAACTCTGTCAACATATGCTGCACTCCAAAGTCCTAACTACTTATTGTGTCGCTTTCCCTTGGGACACTTGAATAAAACATCTCTTCATCCCAGAAAGGGCACCATGAACATGCCAAAGAAATGACTCCATCTAAGTCGAGCTTGCTGAACCGATGAGTGAATTGAGCTTATTTACAGTGACACGAGTGTGGGGTTGCTTGAAGGCTCGTGGGTGACCCCAAATAACTGTACTACAAACAAATCCCATCCCAGTTTGGGTAATGGTCTTCCAAAAACTACATAGAAGGAATTCTCCTTTCAGTCAACCTTGCATTTCCTGTGTAATCCAAACACCTTTTCCCAGAGTCCCTGTAAGTAGCTGAGTGCTGGGCAGGAGTGGGTGTTTGGAATCCCAGGTGACATGATAGCCTTCTCCAGTCCCTCCTGCAAAAAAAAAGAAGCAAAGGAGAGGAGCAAGCTATAAACTCAGGTCCATACCCAGTAATCCACTTCCTCAAACTAATCCACTTTCTATGCTCTATAACGTCCCCAAATATCACTACCAGCAGAGACTGTGGGGGGATGTGTTTCCCTTCGGACTGTAGCAGGCATCAAGGAAATACATCTCCTTCCGTCTCCTACCCCATCTGCTACTGGATGCTGCCTGTGCCTACACCATCCAGAGCAGCCTTCAGACCCTACCCATAATGCTTCATTGGAATGTGGGCACAAAAGTCATCAGCCTGCTAGATACTGTGGAAGTGCAGGAGTTCAAGAAGATTGTGCCTGTCCTCAAGATTCCAAAAGCAAGTCACTGCCACCACTGCACCTGGACCACAGAGTAAAATCCTGTCTCAAAAACAAACAAGAAAAAAATATATAGAGGTTCTCACTTCATTCAATTATCACATCTGTTTCATTAAATTATAAAGTTACTATAATTTAATGAAAGTTTGGTGGAATTCTTGTTTTTATACTTCCCATGCACAGCAATGTATGGAGCCTATGCCAGCAGTGCAGTAAGCATTTGATGAACAAAGGGGAGAATCAACCAATCAGAAGGATGCTGCAGAGTATGGAGAGCTGGAAAGGCTGGAGAGTACCATCAGAAAGGATGCCAACACTCAGCAATTCTCTAAAATCCATGGAGACTCCTACAAGTCAAGACGCTCCCAAAAGGAGAACAACTCTGGAGAGCGCGTGGCAGTCAGACTTGCTAATCAACTTTGGAGTGACAAAGCGTATTATGAGTGCTGTGGGAATGCCAAAGTAGGCCATCCCAGGAAGCAAGTAAAAAGGCAGTTCTAGAAATATAGCAGGAAAATATGTTCAGCCCCAGGTGTTGCTTTTTTACATTAGACTTGTGTCTTGCAGAGACAGGGCAACCCATTCAAAACTCTTGAGTTTTATTAGAGTTTGATCTGTTATTGACTTTAATTCACAACCCAGCCAACAGTTCTGACTGTTGGTCAATGGTGTTCTGAAAAGGGTGAAATTCTTTGCTCCTAATGGATAGATACCCAAAACATGAGTTCATCTGTTATCCATGTAGACAGATTGATTGTTTCAGTTAATTTCATGGTTTCTGTCGCCATATATCTGAGAAGAAGCAACTTAAGGGAGGAAGGGTTTATTTTGGTTTAGAAGTTGAGGGTGTAGTCCATCATGCTGGGGAAGGCACTGAGGCGGGCAGCACCAGGGTGGCAGGGCATGGAGCTGGGACCTCCCCCCTCCTCCCAGAATAGGAGGCAGAAATCAGACAAGAAATGAGGCCTGACTATAGAATATCAAGATCAGCCCCTAGTGACCCACTTCATCCCATGAGGGTCTACCTGCTAAGGTTCCACAGCCTCCCGAAACAAAGCCACCAATGGGGACCAGGTGTTCAGACTCATGAGCTTATGGAGAACATTTCACATCCAGGCCATAACATTTAGACAGGGACAAATATGACATATACAAAAGGAAACAACTTTAGGAAACTGTCCACGCTATTGACAGATAAATTGAACTGACCACTGATTTCTCATCAACAAAGTTTCACAAGCAATCATCAAGCAGTTAGGTACTGTCCAAGGCAGGTGATATGGGGTCACCAACCATTCAGTGGGGAGTAAACAGGTGACATTTCTACTCTACAGGCTTTGGAAACAGGGGCTGTGGTGGTTTGACTAGAAATGTCCCCATAGGCTCATGTATTTGACTGCTTGAGAGGGCCTAGGAGATGTGTCCTTGTCGGAGGAAGTGTGTCACTGGGGGGTGAGCTTTGGAGTTTCAAAAACTCAATCCAGGCCCTGTGTCTCTCTCTTCCTGCTGTCTGCAGATCTGGATGTAGAACTCTCAACTTCTCCAGCACCATGTCTGCCTTCCTGCCCCCACACTCCCTGCCATGACGACAAAATCTGAAACTGTATGCAATCCCTAATTAAATGCTTTCCTTTGTAAGAGTTGCCTTGGTCATGGTGTCTCTTCACAGCAATAGAACAGTGACTAAGACAGGGACTTACACTGGCATTCATTTATTTAACTAACTGGTACTTTCTACTGTTTCAGTTTCCTGCAGTCAAGTGCAGCCTATATATTGAGAGAGAGAGAGAGAGAGAGAGAGAGAGAGAGAGAGAGAGAGAGAGAGAGAGAGAGAGAGAGAGAGAGAGAGGAAAATTCTAGAAATAATTTGTTGGTTCTAAAGTGAACACTTCTGAGTAGTATGATGAAATATGTCACATTTCACTCTGACCTCCTTGGAATATGAATCATCCCTCTCCCCAGAACATCCACACTCTGTATACCTGCCATTTAGCTCAGTATCAAATTTCCAGTCATGATAGCCCAGTTCTAGAGTCCTTATTTTACTTAATGCTCTCAAAGTACAAGAATTCTAATGTTGGCAATTCAGATGTGCCAAAGAGAAGCCATGAAATGTTTCCTGCAAGTCAAGAGGTGAAAATTCTCAGTAAAGGGTGGGAAAAATCGTATGCTACAATGGTTATGAGCTATGGTAAGGACTGATAATGTATGCATAAAATTGTGGGGAAAAAAGAAGTTTGTGCTAATTTTTCCATTGCATCTCAAACTGTCAACATCACGACCACAGTATCTGACAGCAGCTAAGTTAACAAGGAACTTGTGCAGGGTTACAGGACTCAGAACTATAGATGGGGGTCTTGGAATAAGGGGGAACTCGCATATATTTATTTGTTTCCAGAGACTCTTAGACTTGCCTGTCACTTATCAGAAGTGCTGGCCTATATAGATTTCTTAGTCACAAACTAGTTTTGTGTTATTTCTGAAATCAGTTTCTATAACCAGAGCAGTACCATCCCTCAGTATCTTTGTCTACCCAGATATGAAATCCCTCCCACTAGAGATGAGTCAGGTTTTTCTCAAACTGCCCTCTTTTGTTTTTAGCTCCGAAATTAAGCATTTGATATTTACTCATCACACTTGAAGAATTTCCCTTTACAATTGAAAGTGAAAACATGTGAGAGAGTCACATCCAATAGAAGCTCCATCTAACAATGGCGTTTCCATATTTATACTGTTTCCATGCCCCGAACCAGGTATTGGAATGAACATAAGGGTCTGGAACTAGCAAGGCTGGGCCAGTTGGGTTCTGGTACAAAGTGAGACACATGCAGAGAACTGAAGTTTATTTGAATGATGACTAAGAAACAAGCAAGGCCAGCAGCTTCATAATTAATACAGCATCTTGTGTGTTATTTGGGGACTACCACGCAGCAGAGCCCAGGCGACTGGTAGGGGAAAACCAAAGTGGCTGGCAAGGAAAAGGCCATGATACTTGATGGGAAAGTATCAAGGAAGAAATAAACCAGGTCTAATGGATTTGCTCAGTGAGAAAGGCTTGGTTATTATAAGGGATCAATCTAAAAAGAGTCCAGATTTGATGTCTTAGATACACCTATTGAGTCAGCACCCATCGATCGCCTGCCTGAGTCCTGTAAAGCAGTAGAAATGGGAGAGGGAGTTTTAAACAAAGACTAAAATTGCTTTTCTTTCTTCCTTCCATTTATGTCTTTTGGGGTGTGTTTGTGAGATAGGGATCTCATATATCCCAGGCTGGTCTGGAATGTACTAGGTATATTCCAGGATGGCCTTAAATTTATGATCCTCCTGCCTCTACCTCCTGAGAGCTGCAATTGCACACAAGTATCACCATATCTAGATTGTGTGCTGTTGATGACAGAGCAAGCCAGGCAAGCACTCTACCCATGGAGCTAAGCCCCAGATCAAGAACAATTTCTTTAAACTTCTAGGATCTTGAGGCCTGAGGAGCACTGCTTTCAAACCAAAGCATGCATGCATCCTACCATGTTGCCAGACATTGGTCCAAGCATTCATGGATTAGGCATGCTGTTGCCTGGGTGTGTCCATATACAAAACCATAAAGTATGAAGCCACAGAGAGGGGTTAAATGATTCATCTGAGATTGTAAAGACAACGGCAGTGAGTTAAGGGCTTGAGTCCAATGTTTTTGTTTAGCTCTGCTTTTATAATCCTATTATGCCACCCGGGGAAAGAAAAGGCATACACCCAAACAATGAAATCTGAATATTTTACAGAACTCCGTCTGTTTCTCCATTTTAATGGTTGGAGGCTTGAGAATTGGCTTATTAGATCTTTTAATTTTTCTAGCTATGATTTTATAGGAAGAGAAATATTAGCTTTGGGGGCAGTAATGTGGATTAAATTAATACAGTTTCATATCAAATGACCGCAGCTAATATAATGTGAAATTCAACTTTAAAGTTGAATTTAGAGTCTGTGAGACACATTGTACTAATCAGAAATATATAATAAAATGAGATCATTGTGTTTTAAACAGGGACTTGAAAAATATTGACCCAATATTTTGAACATAGAAGGAAACAAAAATGGTAACAGGAAAGTTCCAGAAGTTTACAAGTAATGTTAGGGGAGTCTGATACCTCATCCTGGAGGAAAGAAAGCTGAGGACAAGCCTGGGGGTGGACTTGAAGGCCCCCTGGCTAAGAGGAGCCTCTCTCCTCCACAGGGAAGACAGCAAGGGAAGGCTTTCAATGCACAGGGAGAGGTCTGTTGTGATGGTATTGGCAGGTATTCTTCTCTGGGACATTCTTTAGGCAGTGCAGATACATAAAGATTAAACATAGCTCATATCAAGTGCTCACTCTAGGGAGGAAACACTAGCTATCAGGACGTATTTGAGGGTCCCGCAGTCTCTGTTACCATTTTGGAAAGCATCAGTTCATTGCCATATGGTGGAAGCTAAGCCAACGAATCAGGACAGGGAGGGCAGAGAAGCAGGGCGTCACTTTCTGTAATTGTTGGGATAATCTCTGTGAATGCACCCACCCTACCGTGCTCTTGCCCAGGCCTTTTTAGAATACTGTTCCACACCCTCCTCCTATGCCTTCATTGGTCCAACCAGAGATGCCTAGAAGCCATCTGTTCCCATAGTGACAATCTATGAATGTAGAGTGGAAATAAGACAGGACACTAAAAATTTAAAACTATCAGCCCAACTTCATAATATGGATAATACGCTGCAATAATCATCCAACACACAATAGAATTCTGAGTCCGAGTGATTGTCACAAATCGCAGGCCTCGTGCTACGCCCTTTCTCTTATCACAGAAGGACTCTGAAGCAGGTCGCAGTAGGACATGTGAGTAGCTTGCAACTGGAGGCAGGAGCTCCATCCCGGTGGGGGTTTTGGTAAGACCCATAACCACACGAAAGCTGACTTGGATGGCGCACACAGGGATACCCAGCCTAACCCTCAGTGTGGGCACAACGTTAGAACAAGACACTACTAACTATCCACTTCCACCTTCCAGGCTCTCTTGTCCTCTGAGTCACGTGCAGAGATAATGCATCATTTCTATCACTGAAGCTCTAGACTTCAGAGATCATAGCTATTTTCATCTTAAAACAAAACAAACGAAAAGGAAAGTTCCAGAAAAAAAAATGATGGCTGTTCATTTTAACAGACCAGAAAGTACCAATACTCTATAGACTGAAAGAGTTCTTTATGCCTGAGCAAAGATTTTCATTTAATTAGCCTCAAAGAATGACATCATGAGAACGTTAATCCAAAACCTCACAGAGGTCTGTTCACTAGCTGTTAACAAGACAAACAACTGAACAAGTGGCCTTGGCAACAAAACTCCAAGTCACCACTTTCCCAGATGCCCTAAAAGTCTTGGACAACAACTCCTCAACTTGTCATATTCACTTTCTAAAGGAAGGAAGTGAGCAACTCATACCATCTCCCTGGTTCAGGCCCTCACCAGTTTCCTTTCTGTCTACAACTTTCACAGTCTGTGTAGTCATTTGTTGGAAAACAACTATGGGCTGGTGAAGGGACATGCTTGAGGGTTCAAGGATTTAGCTTGGACTGGGTATTGGTCATTTGAAATGTTGGTGACCGGGTCTCTAGAGACCAGCTGCTTAACTTGCAGCCAAACATCTCTGGCAGTAATCCTGGGCCTGCACATCCAGGCTTCTGTGCCTCCATCACAGGCTTTGGAGGAGGAAGAAACACACCTGATCTTCATGCCTAAGGCAATGAAGTCTAAGGCAACCAGAGAGTAGCCATGTTGGCCTCTTGGAGTGGTTATCATCCAGTCAGCCTGTCTTGACTGATTTTCTGTCACGTGCCCACTGCAGAAAGCCTAAAATAACTTAGGCTGGGAAAACAACTTACAACGACAGACTTGGAGAAGTCACTGAAAGGCTTCCTTAGCTCTGTGTAAGACTTCAGAAACTGGCCACATAGGGTCAAACCTGGGGGCTTGGTTAATCCCAGCATTTTTAAATGATTTTTTAAACAATTTTTTTAACGTTGAAGGAAGTAGATCATTGGCAGTATGTCTTGGGTGTTATTTGTTATCTTAGTGTCCTCTCTGTTTCTATTTTTGCTTCCTGGATTCGAAAGGGCAAACATCTTTCTTCTATCACACCCTTCCTCCCTGATGTCCGTACTTTATCATAGGTCTAAAGGTAGCACAGCCAGATGACCATGCACTGAAACCTCTTAAACCATGAGCTGAAATATGTCTCTTCCCTCTAAACAATAACCATGGCTGTTCACGTGAAAAGTAGAAAACAAGCAACAAGAACCATAGTTAGAGGTAGAGCCTCAACCATGACTTCTAACCAAAAGAATTAGAGAACAACAATGGAAAATTAAGTAAGCTCCAAAATAGGGAAGGATAGTAGTGTGGGATAGTTAAAATTTTCTCCTTTCTCATGGAATTTCATTCCTGGTACGGTCCTCTTGAGATTCTTTCTCTACTCTTCCAGTGACTGTCGCCAACCTGCCCACATCTTACTTCTCTCTTTTTCCCTGTAAAGCCCAGCTCACTGCTCAGTCCAGCCCTCTCTTGCCCGTCTCTTTCTCACCTTCCTGAATTTGATTCCACCAGTGTGGTAACTGGCTCTG